GAGGAGGTGTGGAATCTAGGATGGAGTTTAGGTGAAGAAGGGAGCTTGGGGTAAGGAATTGGGTTGCAGAAGGGGGAGTGGGGTCTGGGAGGGAGTTTGGGTGAAGGAGGGGATTGTGCAGGGTAGGGCAGGGTACTGGGGTGCAGGATTTTTGAATGTGACCTAGGGCAGGAGAGGGTTGAGACTTAGGGCAGGGGTCTGGGATGCAGGAGTTAGGGTTGTGACATAGGGTAGGAGGGGATTGTGATCTAGGGCAGGGGATTTGGGTGCCAGATCTGAGAAGAGGCAAGATTGGGGCAGAGTGCTTGGGTATGTTGAATTGGCGGCAAAGGGTTGGGGAAGAGAGGAGCTGGGGTGCCAGAGGTAGGCTCTGGCCAGGAGACTTACTAGCCAGCAGCCCAACCAGTCTGCTTGCCGGCCGAGCTAAATGCTTGTAGAGCTTAAAATGTTTCTCAGCCAGTCTACCTACCTGCCTGCCTACAAAGGCTGCAGGGCCATGTGCTTGTGTGAATAACTGAGCTGGAGGGGCAGAGAGCATGGTGCTTCATGTGCTGCCTGTGTTTCAAACAGGCAGCTCCCACTGGCCAGTTTCTGGTCAGAAACCTGCCAGTGGGATTGTGCAGGGGGCGAGAGCAGCACCTGAAGCTTTCCCCTGTCCCTTCCAGGATCAGAGAAACGGCCTGGCAGCCACTTTTCTGAGCAGTGTGCGGGTCTGAAGGGCATGCAGGGGAGCCTGCCTGGGGCTTCCCACTGTGTCCATGGGCGGGATCCATTGGCTCGGTGGGCTGAATCCAGCCCACCGACCATATTTTGCCCAGCCCTGCTCTAACTTGTTTTTAATAATCTCCATTGTCTGAGATTCTACAGCCCCTGTAGGCATGGGCGGTTGGTGAAGCTTCCATCTGGGGAGGCAGTAACTTTCCAGCCTATGCCCTGCCCCCTTCCCAGCCTAAGCCCCATCCCTTCCCTGTGCAGGCCCCACCCCTTCCCACTGTCTCCCTCCTCTCTTCCCTGCACATCCTGTGTTCCTGTTCAGCCCGTGCTTGTCCCCTTCCAGTCAGATCCTTGAACCCAAGCAAATTATTTTTGAAAAAACCCTCCACTTTTCTGCAATTTCTTTCTCAATAAAATGGAGCACTTTTTGTACCATGTGCCAGATATGCAGAAGGTACCAATTTAACAGCTCTAAATTTGGGAATAAGAAATGTCAGTCACAGGTTTATTATATACCCTCATAGCTAATATGCAGGCAGCTTGCAAATGCTCCAAATTCCTCTCATTGATCCTGGGGACCCCATAATGGCAAGCGCCAGTTAAAGCTAATTGAGAAATCTCTGTTCTTTCTTCACACAGTCAAACAAGGTGTCAGGCCTCGCCCTCAGCTGGCATTTGTCCCCTGACAGGAAGAAAATGACTAGAATCAGACCACAAAAGTTGCCACCTCACTTTCACTTCTTCACACAAACAAGTTGAGGGCTTCCTATGTTGATTGCTTCAACAGCAGTAAGCATTGCCAAAGGGCATGTGCCAGTAAAATACAGGCTGGTTGCTGCTTTAACAATAATAGTACCCATTCAGCTCCAGAACCAAGAAGGTAAAATGTCCCACTGAGGCAGCATGATAGTGACAGCTTTATAGATCAGATTGGCAGTCCCAGTATACCCAGGGGTGAAGGAACCAAATCCCCAGCCCTGTTCTCACCAGGCAAACATAATCTTCCAACCACTGAAAAGATTTCAGACTGAAAAGAGTTGAGACCTATCCTACTAATAACTTCTCTCATCCTCGCTACCATGTCCCTCCTCCCTCTGCTCCCCCTTTCTTCCCTTCACACCCCTTTCTCCTCAAGTCCCCACTGCTCAAGATTACTGCCCTCCCCAATCAAGTGCCTCCCTCTTTCTTACCCACCAAAGAATTTGAACAAGTAAAAAAAATTGTCCTGCCTCAGGCATCTGCTTATCTGTGGAAAAGCTCTGAAGGGCTCCTCTGACCCAGGCGGAGGGGGATCCATTCTTCCTGGCTATTTATTGTTCTGCACAGTTCCACTTGCAGGCCAGCACAGGTCCAGCCCTCCCTGCTGCACACACACACAGCATAAGGCTGGCTGGCCTACCTGCATCTTTGACTAGCCCTTTGAAAAGTGATGATGGGGGAGGGCTGGTGGAGTCCTGCTCTCACTACACCTGCCTCTTCTGGCAAATTGCTCCAGCATCACACAATGAAAGGAGGAATCATCCCATAAAGTCCCAAATTGAAATTCTCCTGTAATCCAGGAGCAGTGGCTACTGCGTGAATAACACAGAAAGATTTTGAAATTGTAAAAAACACATTGCAAAATTGCACTTTTCAGCACCTTCCATCTGACGACATCAAAACACATAACTAAAACCAATGAATTTACACAAACTCCTGTGAGGCAAGCAAATATTACTATTATCCCTTTTTTTTGGATGGAGAAACTGTGGCATAGGATAATTAAGTTCTTTAACCACTGTGGGTTTTTTTAATCAGTGGAAAAACTCCCTTGAAGACCAAGCCTTAAATCAGGCATGTCCAAAGTCCGGCCCGCGGGCCAATTGCGGCCCGTGTTCCGGTTTAATACGGCGGGTAATTTGGCAATATCTATCTTTTATGGCCCCCAACGAATCCATATGTATTGAGATGAATACATTGTAAAATCTCAGTTAAAGTCAGTTGGTCTAAATCAGTTATAAATATATTTGGACACAACATGTATACTTGGTGTTATGTTCCTGTTCATATTTTTTGAACTTAAAAGTTGACAGACAACCTTTATTACCAATAATATGTAATGTACTTTACAATGTTCCTGACATATATTTCAGCTTCCTGGATTTTTTTTTTCATCTGGCCTTCAGATATGAAAGGCAGAGTGATTTAACACCTGTTTAGATTTGTCATCCATGTGACGAAATGAAAAGTATGCCGTTTGCAATAAACTTTGCATAAAATAGTTAATTTGCATTTAATTTTAATGGTTCAAAGAATGTCAGGCAAAATGGTCGGCCCTCACGCATGTTCACTTCATCAAATCTGGCCCTCTTTGAGAAAAGTTTGGACACCCCTGCTTAAATGATGGGTCCAATGTCATACTGGAAGTCTGCGACAGGAAGGCCATTAAGAAAACCCCTGATCTTTACATTTCTAGCAGAGAGGAGCACAGGCCACTGTCTGCATTGAGGTGGGGAGATCACCCTGAAACTCCAGCTTCCCCCAGTATAGGAACTCGGCAGTGAGGCTGCACCTGACCCTAACACAGTGTAAGGGCTGCCCCTGACCCTCTGTGCCAGGCATACCACATGTGGCTGGGCAGGTTCAGCCCAGGATGAGCCAAGTGTGGAGGAGGTAGGGGGATCTGGGTTGGGAGCAGTCTGAGTGTGAGGGGCTCAGTGGGAGATCTGGATGTACAAGGGTTCGTTGGGAGGTTCTGGTGTAGGGGCAACGGGACTCCGGTTGAGTTCAGTAGAAGAGTTGAGGAGGGGGGACGGACTTGGTGTGGGGTCCAGGTACAGCTTGCTGGGGCTCAGTGGGGTGGGGGGTCTGTGTGTGGGGAGCTTGTTGGATGAGTCCAGGTTTAGGGGAGCAGGGCTTGTAAGGTTGAGAGTTAGATGGGCCTGCTTAACCAGGGAGCCACAGCTGGTGTTGAGTGGACTCCTGCTCCACCCCCTACCTGAGTCCTCATCTTCTTCTCTTCTCCATCCCCTCACGCCCCATTCCTTCCCCACTCTCTCTTCTCCCCACCTCCTCAGCCCCCTCTTCCCTCATTCCCACCTCCCTACTCAACTCCACTGCAGGACACAGAAAACAGGAAGCATGTGGGCAGAGGACAAGAAGGGGAGGGAGCTGGGCAGCTACCTCTGCAGGGCTCGTTGTGCTAGGCAACCCCCCCATCCCACCACTCCATACACTAGCAAGGGGGGGGGGACCATCGGGAATGAGTGTGGGGAGAGGGCAAGGGGAGAAGAGCCCCCAGTAGCAGGCTCAGTCACAGCTGGGCTGGGAAAGTGAAACCAACCCCCCCATCACTCCACACACTAGCAAAGTGTGTGTGTGGGGGGGGGGGGGGGTGCAAAGGAGGAGAAGGGGGTCAGCAAGGAGGAAGCCCATTTTGCCCTCCCTGGGCCAAGGTGAAGGAAGGGGCGACTGGATGGGGTGAAGGGCTGAGCAGAAGAAACTGGCAAGCAGCAGCAGCAGCAGGGACACAGCAAGCTGGGTGGGGTAGTCTCTGAAGAGCAGGGCTAGCAGTCTTCCTGGAGCTGGTGAGATGAATGGAATTGCAGGCTGCTGCAGTAGCAGCAGGGAGAGCCTATGTGACTATAATTTGAGCTTTGTGTCTGTTCCATGAAGGTACAGGGCAGGTTCTCCTCAAGGCTTCCTGCTACTCTGCCTTCCCAGCCGCCCTGGAACCTGCCTGAACCCCACTAAACGTTCCACAGCAACCCCACGAGGAAGTTGGAGGCAGGGAGGGGCAGGGTGGGGCCAGCATGGCTCCAGTTTTGGGTAGGCTGAGCCTCTCTGCCTTACAAACCAGACACCCATGCCCGTAGGTAATTTGTTCCAGTACTTAACTACACAGAAGGGATTTTTTCCTAATATCCAATCTACTTAATTTGCCTAAGTTTACCCAAAAGTAGAGGTGGGAATATAGTCCAGGTGACCCAGGTCTACGGCCAGTGCTTTATTCATTAAGCCACATGGGTATCTAACTTCAAAAAGAAGATAATCATCTTCCTTAGCAATATTCTCAAAGATTGTTTAAAGACTACAGGATCAGAGTTCAAAGCAGCAGACTATGTAGTCAAGGTTTGAGACACAGACGTGGTAAATGCCTCACTGTTTGCTTCGTGTCTTGACTTGATGTTCATGGCTTTCAATACAATTTTTAAAGATTCTTCACACTTTGGTAGGTGTCAACCCTTCCACAAAAAGCAATTGAGGACCAAAAAGAAGCGCAAGCCACTGCTACATAAGCATGGCTAGTTATAACAGCTGCCTCCGAGCTGTCTCTCAACCATGAAAATAGATCAGTACCTTTGTGAGCCTTCCCGGAAGTCTCCTGTCTTCTTTAAGGATCCAACATATCAAATACCTTCAAATAATAAAAGCAAATTGTAACTAGGTTACAAAAATGAAACCAAAACAGAGGCAGCTTGATTTTCATTTAAAGTAAGGTCAATTTACATAACCCTGGCAATGTAAAGGACCTTATAAATAAGAATCAGGCCCCAATATTCAAGAACATAGGTTTTTACATTCTAACAAACTGGTTAGTTAACAAAGAGGCAAGAAAGAAGACTACTCAAGGAATTGGTAGGCAAAACTCACCCCAAGATTCTCAAACAGCCATCAGTGATACTCTCAAGCAAAGCCATCTTGGCTAATACTAACCATTGACATCAACTCCCTTTCATCATTGTCTTCAGTGAGAGCCACTGAGAAGAACAATCACCTGTTCTCGCTCAGTGTCTTCCATTGTGGTTGACTTACCCCAGCAGAACTGCTGGCACTATCTTTATTGGAGTAGAAGCTAATGTAAGCACATAAAGGCGTTAGTGTAGATAGCAGGGTAAGAGGAGTGTTACTGAAAAATGTTATGTGCACTCTGTTGCTATGCCTTTAGTTTTAAAAATATCTAAATGTTACATGAGTCTCAGATCTGGCTTTATTTACATAAAATATTTACACATGAAGCAAGACAATTTCACAACTTCAAAATGTATTTTCCTGTTAGATTAATCTTTTCATATGCTAACCACATTACAAGTAAACATTTTCATAGTCTCCTCTACATGAATGTGGCTAAAAGCTTCCTTGTTATTTTATAGTTACAGCATTTCAAATATATCCCTTTTTGACATGGTTAGGCAACCTGCCAGTTTTACCACTAAATTACAGCAGAGAAAACACTCAGAAGAATTTGATTAGTTTCCTTCTTTTTCTCTGTGTGTAAGGAAGACAAATTTATACTGAAAATGGAAGTTAGGTTCTGAAGAACTGCAGACATCCATATTTGTGGGGTTAAAATGATCACAAACTTTTGTATCTGATTTCTAATATTGCTTTCTATTAGTGCTGTATTTTTCATATTTATCAGCGTTATCTCCAGAATTCCTCAAAAACACAAAGCCAGACAAAAGTTAAGATGTCGGGCTATGAAGTTCAGGGAATTGGCAATTGGCAATGGGCAATGAAACCTTTCCCTCGCTAGTTCTATATAGTGCCTTCAATCCAAGGAACTAAAATTTTTCACAAACATTAATGAATGAAATTGCACAAGATCCCTTTGAGGTAGGTAAAATTATTAATATTTTACATATGGGGAAGCTGAGATATGGCGAGGTTTATTGATCTGCACCTGGTGAAATCACAAATCAGTAATATGAATCGGAATAGAAGTGTGAGTTCTTGATTCCTCAAATTTCTCTTCTGTAGCTTCTAGCACAGTGGCTTTAAACCAGGGGTATGGTAATCCTGTGGGTTCAAAGAGGTCTTCCAGGAATTACATCAACTAATCTAGAGGATTTCCCTAGTTTTACAATAGGCTACGTAAGAAGTATTAGTTTAGTCAGTACAAACTAAAATTTCATACAGACAGTGACTTGTTTATACTGCTCTATATATTATGTACTGAAATGTAAGGGCAATATTTAATATTCCAGTTGAGTTATTTTATACTTATATGATAAAAATGAGAAAGTAAGCAAATTTTCAGTAAAAGTGTGCTGTATTTTAAGGTCTGATTTTTGTAAGCAAGTAATTTTTAAATGGAATGAAACTTGGGGCTAAGACAATGCAGACTCCTGAAAGGAGTACAGTAGACTGGAATGGTTGAGAGTGACTGTTCTAGAACATGCTTCCTCTAGGTCCCTGATTTGAATTTAGTTAATTGGTCTGGTGACTTATGCACAGTAGTGACCAAATGTTGCTGCTATATGATATGTCTTTTTGGTAGCATATTCAAGGAATTGGTGCTCTCGGTCCATTGTCAAAGAGACAGATGGATGCATCACAAAATTCACTCAATGTAAAAAAACAAAACAATAAATAATAGCAATACAATTATATAAAAGTAAAGTTGTTTGTATTATTGTCTGAGTAGTATTTTTTACAGATTTTAGGCATTAAGGTGAGACAGGACCACAGTGACCATCTAGTCTGTCTTGTGTACAACATAAGACAAACAAATTCACTCAATAATTCCTGCATCAAGCCCATTACATAGGTGCTGGGACTAGGGTTGGTTCATCTCCTGGCTTGAAGTGGTTTCTATCAGACACAGAGTTTACAGTTTGATTCAGGATCTTTCAGCACCCTAACTATACAGATTGTTCCAGCACCTCTAGCTCATATTTCATGGTTACTCAGGAGCTTAATTTGCAGAAGACAAGTGTAGTATAATGACCATAAGCTATATGGGGCATGAATGCTAAAGGGCTTGTTTCCTCTTAGATGATGTGCTCTCTCCACATCACAATGGAGGCTTAATAGTTGGATGTCATAACAAAACTTGCCCTTGCCTGTCTTATGTATGTTTTGTGGGAACATTTTAATAGCTGGTATTATCTATGTGTTCTCTTTCAGAAACAACACTTTAAAAATAAGTAGCTCTTTGAGTCCAAGTGTAGATAGCAGCAACCATACATATTTTCAATGTCAAAATGAATGTAAACATTTATACGTTGGAAGTTCAAGTCTTTTGAACATAGGGTTATCACAGCGCCACTGAACTGAATTACAGTTTGGTGATTCTCTATTGCTTATTAATGCTCTATACATCACTACAATAAGGCTAGGTCTCTAGTTTTCAGTTGTGATACACCAAATTTTCACATTGGGGGTACGTCTAAACTACATGCCTCCATTCAGGGATAGAAAGGAGAGAAGAACCCAAAGTTTGATGACATTTGGATTACCTGATGGATTTGTGTAATACCATCGTAAGTTGTTCAGACACCACAACGTATAAATGGCATGCATTATTATAAAGAAGGGATATGAATGTTAATGAACAAAATGTTTTTTCTACTCAAGATAAATACATTTCCTTTTCCTTCTGTGATCTTAAAGAGAATACATCTAAACAGTTTATTCTAGATTGTGCAATGTTGAACATAACAATACAGAACAAAGAATATTCATCCATGCCTGGAATTTGACTGGTTGATCATCCCTCACTGTTTATGATTAAGCAATAAAGATAAAGGTGCATGACATTTCCTGGGGATTAATAACTGGTAGGGAGGAGTTAATGGCCTGAGGTGTGGCTGAGGGCCATTAACCCCAGCTGGTCATTAATCCTTATTATAAAGCACTGAAACTCAGCTCACCAAATACAGCAAAGGACAAACCAATCCTCTAATTATCCTTTTTGCTGCTGCCTATTCTCCTCAGAGATTTATTGGAACCTGCACTGTAATTTTTGGATTAGGTGCTATAGTTCTCACTGAGGCAGAACTCCAACTCATGGTAGATTTGTCTAAGTTACAACTGAGTGAGAACTGTAGGACTTGGTTCTTAATGTGGAAATGGGAGCAGGAATTATAGCAGCAGCAGTATGGACACTGATAAGAAGCATCTAGGATGTTTCATGACAGATTTACATAAAAAAACTAGCTTACTTCAAGCTCATAAAAATAAATTTATTTTCAAATAACATGTTACAATGGAATCTGGTCTCATATTGACTGTAATTCTTGGGCCTAATTTCAGTTGTTGAGTTTAGTGTATGGAAGGTGCTAAGTGATGGTGGTGGCAGCCTGTGATATTAAGGAAGTTGGACTAGATTATCTGGTGACTCCTTCTGGCTTTAAACTTCATCACTTGAACTTTGTCTGCATTTTGGTACTGAACATATTTTAAAAGGACTCTTCTGCTTCTTTTATTCTGATATTATAAAGCACTTTGTCTCATTAGATGGTTCCAAAAGACAGTCCTGTATGATTTGGTATTTAAAGTACCTATAATTCCAAAGTTCTTATAAACATATATTTGCTAAATTCCAAATGTTGCAGTCATTTTTACTATTATAAAGGTAAATATTGGGGGGAACAAGCGTTTTAGAAGTTTATTGCTTAATGCATGCAAGAAACGTACATCAATGTATTGCACTGTACATGGCAAATTAACGGCTAGCTCATTGGGTAGATTGTGTAATTGTCATGACATCTATTACATAATAAGTTTTTTTAAAGGGACTGCGGGTTCTTTTGCTCTTGCATGTGCTTATTTTAGTAAAACTTTGAACCTATTATTACCTTAAAAAGATGAACTCATACAGTTTTACAATCAGACTCATATTCTGTCCTGTTACATTAATACAATGCCACATTCATTCATGGGCTTGCATAGTGACACTGAGGAGAGAAGCTAGCCCTTCGTCCTTGGTCAGATCAAATTAAAAGCACTGAAAATGTGATTCTCTACTACCATGCACCTTGTGGAGTCCAAGGGTACCAATCATAATAGTATTTTTCATGCACTTTGCACAGATGTAAATAATTACACAAGATGCATGGCAGTGGAGAATCAGGTCTCATAATGGAAAATGGATGATTGATGTCAATGGAGATTTTGCCCTTTAATGTGAGGATTTGGCTTCTATAGTCCTTTTTAAAAACAAAACTAACTATCTCACCTCTCAGCATGATAATCAAGCTAAAAAATAAAATGTAGGACTTTAACTCTTCAAAATGGACATGCAACGATGTCCAGGTGAACTACAAGTATTTTAAGAGAGTTTGAAATAGTAAAGGCCTATCCCCCTGAAATGCTCGTCCTACGTGACTGGGGCCGAATGATAAGATCACTATAGAGTTTGGGCTCAATCCTGCCATCTATGCTCATACATGCATTCACATAATAGTGTATAATGTGTTAGTGAAGGTTGCAGGATCAGGTGCTTTGCTTTCTCTTGGTTAGAATCCTTAATTCCTATTAGTGCCTCTTAAAGCTTGCTTCTCGCTATTGGCATTGCAGTTTAATACATTTTCTTTTTCTAGGGACTCTAACATTTGGATCCCTGACCTGGTCTCTTTCTCCCAATTCTTCTTTAATAAACCTTTAACTTCTATGTTTATTCTGTCCTCGTAA